GCGTCTAAGGGCCAACAGAACCCCCCCCCAGACCAAGAGCTCCTGACGACATGGAGAATTCAGACCTGGAACCAAAGGATGCGTTGTTGCAAAATGAAAACCCAAGCAAGCACACCGATGGAACTCGAAACGAAATCTATAGGTCGCAGCGCTCACACGCCCAAGGGAGAACGCAGCCGCATAGATACAGGGCCGACTGACCTCATCCCTTTGGGATGATGAACCTCATCCTTTTAGGATGATGACCCAGCGTCTAAGGGCCCAGAGAACCCCCCCAGGCCAAAGCGTCTGACGACATGGAGAATTCAGTCTCGGAACCAAAGAATGCACTGTTGCAAAATTAAAACCCAAGCAAATGCACCGTGAAAACAAAGCATTTGCACCACTGGAGCTAAATTGGCAAGACCCAAGTTAAGTTAGTAACACATACAATATACAGTACAAAATGCTTCAATTACAAAAGTTACAATATACAAATTTCTCCCCGTTTGCCACCAAAGAGCGATGACTTTGCTCGCTCGTTGCTGTTGCCCAGCAAGAACCAAACAATACGAGGAGGTCTGGAGTGCGTCTTGCCATTAAAAGAGATGACTAGGGTTTGATAGCACGGGTGAAGGACACCGTATTTTGTAAATTTGGACGCCGTAGTTTAAAAATGATGCATACGGTATTTTGTGAATTATGAACGCTGCACTTTGTATATTCCAAAGCCGTACTTTATCAGTCCTGAATGCATGTTATTAACAACATATTTCAAAAAAAATCGGGCATTTTTGGAAAAATATCCACTTTCCTTCGTGTTCACAGCACGTAACACAAAACATTTTCGCTAATATTTATTAACAATAAATTAGAAATTCGCGAACACGTGCTACTTTTAAGCCAAAACGGAGATCCAGTGTTGCTGCTACCAGACCGGAATCAAAACTAAACACAGAGGATGGAAAAATTGACCTTTTATCAGGTAGCTCACGTGACAGTGACGTCATCGTACGTCACGATGAGATTGCAAAAATTATTTTTCATATTTTAGATCAGAAATTGTACATATTCGGGGTTAATTTAACAATGTTTAAACAAACTAATTTGTTTTTGCTAACCTCGTGTTCTTAGGAAGATGGATTTCGGTTTAATTATCATATATTGTAGTTATCATATTTGAACATTATGAATTCCATTAATTATGTTTAAATTTTATTTAATTATATCGCGAAAATGTATAGCTTTGACCCACCAACTTCAATCGTATCGAAAATTTATCCAAAATGTAAACATTGTCGACCAAACGAATCACGGAATCCGATAAATTAAAACTGAAGTCGTACTTACCCTGTTTTCGGTCTTTTTCGGAAAAATATCCATTTTCGTCCGTGTTCACAGCACTAACAGAACATATCTTCCGTAATATGTATTAATAATAAACTAGAAATCCGCTAAAACGCTCCACTTTTACGCCAAAAGGAAGCGACGACCTTGCCGGCATCAAACAGAAATTAATACTGAACACAAAGGACCGAAAAACGTGACCTTTATACAGGTAGCTCACGTGACAGTGACATCATCGTACGTCACGATGAGATTGCAAAAATTATTTTTCATATTTTAGATCAGAAATTGTACATTTTCGGGGTTAATTTAACAATGTTTAAACAAACTAATTTGTTTTAACCAACCTCGTGTTCTTAGGAAAACGGATTTCGGTTTAATTATCATATATTGATAGTTATCATATTTTAACATTATGAATTGTAGCAATTATGTTTAAATTTTATTTAATTATATCGCGAAAATGTATAGCTTTGACCCACCAATTTCAATCGTTTCGAAAATTTATCCAAAATGTAAACATTGTCGACCAAACGAATCACGGAATCCGATAAATTAAAACTGAAGTCGTACTTACCCTGTTTTCGGTCCTTTTCGGAAAAATATCCATTTTCGTTCGTGTTCACAGCACTAACACAACATATTTTCCGTAATATGTATTAATAATAAACTAGAAATTCGCTAAAACGCTCCACTTTTACGCCGAAATGAAGCGACGATCTTGCCGCCATCAAACAGAAATTAAAACTGAACACAAAGGACCGAAACACGTGACCTTTATACAAGTAGCTCAGGTGACATTGACGTCATCGTACGTCACGATGAGATTGCAAAATTTATTTTTCATATTTTGGCCGGGAAAATGCACATTTTCGGGGATAATTTAACATTGTTTAAACAAATTGATTTACTTTAATAATTTCGGGCTTGTAGGACAACGGGTTTCGGTTTAATTATCATACATTGATGCTTATCATATTTAAACATTATAAATGATATTAATTATGTTTAAAATTTATTTATTTATGTCGTGAAAATGTATAGCTTTGATCAACCCATTTCAATCGTTTCGAAAATTTTCCCAAAATTTAAATATTCTCGAGTGAACGAATCACGGAATCCGATAAATTAAAACTGAACCCGAACTTACCCTGTTTTCGGTCCTTTTCGAAAAAATATCCATTTTCGTTCGTGTTCACAGTACTAATACAACACATTTTCACTAATATTTAAATATATAAATTAGAAATTCGTGAAAAGAGCCCTACTTTTAAGACAAAACGGACTCTGATGTTGCTGCCACCAAACCGAAATCAAAACTAAACGCAGAGGACCGAAAAATGTGACCTTTTATTAGGTAGCTCACGTGTCAGTGACGTCGTCGTACGTCACGATGAGATTGCAAAAATTATTTTTCATATTTTCGCTCAGAAATTGTACATGTTCGGGGTTAATTTAACAATGTTTAAACAAACTAATTTGTTTTTGCTAACCTCGTGTTCTTAGGAAAATGGTTTTCGGTTTAATTATGACATATTAATAGTTATCATATTTAAACATTATGAATTATATTAATTATGTCATTTCTGCAACTCTTGAGTTATTTTCTAAAATAAATTGACTGATCCATACATTTTTTTGTCACTGTAAAAGCAAATCTAAAAAATATGAATGCAATGATAAATTTACGAAAATATACTGATGATATTTTGCACATTTTAGATAGGATTTGTTCGGCAAAATCTTGAGATGACGTCATCAAGTTTTTGGGCTTGATAAACAGATATATTTTAATTAAAAACTTACCATGTCAAACAGTAACTTCAAAACGTCTGCAATAAATCTAAAAATTTAGTTTTGCAATTCTTGCTTCAATCAATAAAATAAACTGACTCAGTGATTAATATACATATATATATATATACACCCCCTATAAGCAAAACTAAAAAATATGAATGGAATGATAAATCACAAATATAGTCTCATCCTATTTTGGATATTTTAAAAAGGATTCATTTGGCAAAATTTTGGGCTGACGTCATCAATTTAAGTAAGTATTATTTTGAATAAAAATTTATTATGCTTATCAGATGTTTAAAACATCTGCAAGATTTCAAAGCATTCGGTTTGCAGATTCAAAATTAAGTTGTAGGTGAAACGAAGTTCACGGGATCAGCTAGTAATTAATAAAAAATAATCATTTAATGGATTTCCCTATTAATTAAGCTTGAATCAATGACAATTTTGACGTGAATTAAATATTATCACTGTTAACCATGTCAGTTTTGACAAAAGGAGTAAGGTGGAGTGACAGGTGTCTTATAATAAAATAAATAAGTCGTCTATTACCGTCCGTCTACCGATTTAGGCAAAGATCTCCGAAAATACTGGACTAAATCTTGCGAAATTTTATATATTTGTTACAGATATCATGCAGATGGTAAAACGTTAACCAAAATTTGTCCAATCATCTCTACTAACAATTTGATGACGTCACCTCAAACTTTTCCACAGTAAATGTTATTTTAACTTTAAGAAATAACAAACAATAATTTGAAAAATACAGAAAGAAAATCTAGAACTTCAAAATTTCTCGATCTTCTTAAAAATCTTCAATAAAATATTCAAGCACATTAAGTACAACCAAATAAATACAGAAAGATGTCATTCTTGTATCTTGGTTTAGATGTGTTTCTTATCTCGGTTCCATTTCTTCATAAATCATCCTTTTTTCCTATGAAAACTTCAATTAATACATATATTTATATTACTTTCGTTTTACCTCAATTCAATAAAAAATCACGTCTTGAAAACAAAAAATTCTCGGAAAGAGTTGAGACAATACTTCTCTCTCTTTCTGAAACGTAGACAATGCAGGCTCCAGATACGCAATGAAAAAATGTGAAGCAATTATGCTGTTCAGTATTGTACTGTACCGTGTCGCTATAAAAAGTGCCAGAATAATTAATAGAAATGACAAAATAATAACAGTAATTATTACATTAAATTTGGTTTTAATTAACCAAAAAACACCGCCGTCTGGCAAGGAATCGAGCATCGCCCTCTCGGTGTCACACAGTCAGAGACATGGGATCACTGAACTACTGAAAAGCTGTGTTCATTCAGCTTCTATATAATCAGCATTCCGTTCCTTAGCTCATTCTATATCTAAATTGCCATATTAGTGATATTAGATGCATTATTAAACCATAGATAAAGCAACTTCTCACACTGTAAATGTCAAGCCAGATTTACTTAGCAATGATCTGAGACATCATCAAATTTTTGAAAGGAATGAACAGATAAATTCTGATTAATGATTTATACAAAGTTGACTTTAAATCGCGTTTCAGAGTAATCAGTTAATCAGTCTTTGCAAAATTTTACTTTACACATTTGCAACATCTTGTTAAAAAGGAGTACAATTTAATGAATATAGAATTTAGCCTGCTATCGACGAGACCTTAATGTGTAAGCTTAGCTATTATTATCTCTATGGGGGTCTTCTAACAATATTGCCAACATGATGGTAATAATTTCTGACCCTTGTTTCACCCTAATTTTATTGTAATACTTGCTACTCCGCCATTTTGATATACAACTTAGGACACCATTTTGTCAGTCAGAACCTAAAAAAGCTGCACCTCAGTTTTAAATGCAAATAAAATAAAACATAGCTTTTATACATATTTATTATATATTTATGACTACAATTTTAATATAAAAATCATACATGCATATGTACTTCGCTATACATCTCTATCGTAAAATTAGTGGTTGCTGTAAATTTACTCGCACAAATTTATAAGATAGACACTATCTAAAATTCTGTTAGAAGCAGATGAAAAATCCCTGATCTATGGTGAGTGTTGTGTTTGTAAATTGAAAAAACATGTGCACATAATGTTAGCTCATGGGAAAAACAATTTAAGTACAAAGTACGTACACAACGAGAATAAAATTTACTAGACTTTCAATGATGGAAATTCTGTTAATCATATATAAATAAACATACATCTTAAAATATGTACAATACCTATTTAGTGTTTCGATGCCATAACAATAATACATTCTATGACATAAAACAGTGCTTAAATAATCGTTATGTTTTCATATAATAAAAATATAGAATAACTTAAAGCTAACTGGTAGATTATCTGGCACATGGTGTGTGTTGACTTAAAACAGCCAAAATTCCCTAAACTAACCGCAAATTTGATTCTCTAAAGGCCAGTGTGGGTCTGCTCTGAACACTCGTCGGAACCCATCGACATGTCGGCGATGATCCCACTTTCTGCAACAAGAAAGCTCTCACTCTAGATCTGTGGCACTATAACACAACATTAACATACTACGATCATGTCACTCTATACAATGCTGGATTCATCTAGCGCTGTATACCAGTGGCACTCTCGCGATGTGCATTCCCTCATAATAGATACCTAAATCGTTAAAACTGTACACACCCGTGGAGCACTGGCTATTCAAAGTGGCAGATCTATGGTAGGGCTTGGGACTATCGCAAGCCGATTCGAAACTGAGATTCATCGAATTATTCGGTCCTCCGCTGTTGGCGGAACTGGTGCTCCCCGAAGAAACACTCGACGACATGGAAATCACCGAATGCGGTCTCTTCGCATTCCTGCACGACTCTACGACTGGACCCACGATCGAATTTCGGAATCTTGGGGCGGCTGCAAACAAAGAGTCAGCGAATTGAGTCACGCATGCGCGGTAGGTGAGTGCTACCATCATGCAGGTTAAGAGTACTACTGGTTAGATAAGCGCTAAGGTCGCTACAGCAACGCAGGCAGGCGCATTCCGGTATCTTACAAGGAAACAACGGGGTGGTGATTTCTAAAAGTTAAGCGAATGTGTTAGTGGGGAAGAGGTGTTAGTGCTGAGGTGGGATCAGGGCTTACTTCTACTGAGTTGGTCCACGCTGATGGAGCGGTCGCTGATTTGGTCGGCGCTGGGCCGGATGTCCAAGCAAGGCTTGTTTCCGATGCCCATTGAAGACATTTCGGCCATCCTGACGGCTGAAAGGGTAATAAACAAGCTAGATTTGTTAAAGGTGGAAAATACACACAACGTACCTCTGTTTTTGATAGCCTGCCTCCACAACAATTGGGACAATTCCTCAATCCAAGCCTTCTTGACATCCTCCGACATCGCCTGCAACGTGAAAGTATCGTTGGGTTTCCTTTTCCTGAACCAAATTTCGAACTTAGTGGCGCTGTCGCCAATCTTCGCCGTCAATCCAATGTCAGTCATCTTGATACTGTTCTTGTAAATGTACAGATCTAGATTCTACAACAGAACTAACATCGCATACAGTACTTAAGACAAAAGTGTGGCCGTACCTTACGATCCGGGAATCTTCTAGCCTTACTAAACAGTATCAACTCTTCAAAAAGGAACACTTGTCTTAGCGACTTTTTTCCACTGCGACCCTCCCACACCAAGAACTCGTTCTGGCGCAACAAACTTCCTTGTTCTTTGAGATTCACCTGAAACACAACGTCACCAAAAGGAACACGAACAGAGACAACTTACATCACACTCTCTTATCGAATCCATGGCAAGTAAGTCGTTGCCGTGCCTCAACTTAAACCTAACCATTTCTTCGGCTTGCTTCAAGTCTTCGAGTTCCTGGATTCGTTCTATGGAAGGACCCACCGCTTTCATCATTTGTTGGAGAAGAAGGGCATACTTGCCCATCCTTTGTACCGGCTTCAACAAGTAGCTAGCCAAATCCATTTTGTCTTTAAGTTCCAGTTGTTTGCTCTACAACAATAAAGTGAATATCGTAACTAACGTGATTGAAAACTCACCTTGAAGAACAAAGATCCATACTCGGACATCAACGAATCCGACTTTGGTTTGTTCTTGTTATAGAGCGCATACAAGTAAAACTTCTTGTCGTGCTTGAGGAAAATCTGTCCAACTTGTAGAGGGTTACTTTCGCAGCTTTCCAGTTCCAGAAGGAAGTGCTGACTGTGGAATTCGTAGATCTTCTCGACGTTGCCGAAAATGATGTTCCGCTGACCCCTCAAAGCCTGTGGAATATCCTCCCTCATCAACTCCGGTATATAATTGACAATGACGTAGTCCAAGGATTTGACATAATCGCGTTCAGTCTCAATCATCTCCTTGATGATAAAAGTTACAGTCCTACACAAAACAATTAGCTACAATGACGATAAAAACCCCACCAGGACTCACTTTTGTGTTTTTGGATCCATGTTACTGTACAAAGCATCAGAAGGAAGATCGAGACTCGACGCGTGACAATACAGGTGGTTATTGGCCGCAATCGGAGGCACTTTTCTTCTTTCTTCGCTGTAGTGCTCTTCTTCGATGTCGTCGCTGCTGTTGCTCTTGATGAAGCCATCGCTTCCCTCCTCGATGATACTGTCCTGCTGGTTATCCGTGTGATCTTGATTAGAACCCGCACTCGAACTTCCCGCACTGCACGCAGCACAACTTTCGCGGTAATACTGGCACGAACATGTCCTTTGGAGTTTTTTCTTGTTGCAAACACTTTCCTCACCCACAGAATTGTCCGCGGTCGACAGGCCGCTGTCGCACCGATGGTCGTCCATTTTCTCGAGGAGGTCCTCCACGCTTTCGCGTTCTTCTTTGATGCCGTCGAGGGTGGCGCTGTTCTTACGTTCTAGGGTGTCTCTGCAGACGCACGTTTGGAGGGTTTGGATGTACTTTTTCTTGAGTTTGTACGAAACGGTGTTCTCGGTGTCGGATTCGCAGCAGTTGCACAGTTCGCCTGCGGCGTGGTGGTTGCAGTGGTAGATGTAGGCCAGGGAACTTACAGATCTGCGGCGGATTTGAGTATTGTGAGATTTTACGGGGGTGCTGGTGGCGGTTGGGGGGTCGCTGGGGTACTTGTCGGGGGGCTGGACGGTGATGCATTCTTCCTTTCGCTTGATAGCCTAAAAAAGGGAATTACGTTATCTTGTTAATTTAAAAAATTTCAAATTAACTTATTCTTATTACTAAATTTTTTGTTTTGTTTTCTTGCATTTTTGTCCTTAAAACTATTTCTTACAAAATTTCAAAACAAAGCTCAGAGAAAAATCACATAATTAGACAAAAGAATGCTAAAGATGTTTTAAGTGTTTTACAACTGATGTTCTAAGACTTTTTCTAAGGACACTGGCAACTACAAACTGCTGTCTTCTTTTTTTGTGTCATAATTTTTCATATAATCTTTATCTTGGTCCAACAATGCAGACATTTTTCCTCATATACGAAAATTATCTACTTTCTTATCAGACGTAAGTTATGATTTTGAAACTTTATCTCAAGAACTTCTTCCGAGTGTTTGATATTTCAACGCTTTATATTACTTTATAATTATTTTCCTGAAATTTAGGCAAGTTACTTTATTTTCAAGATCAAAAATAAGACTGTGGAAGAGGAAGATCAGAGGAAAATCAGAGAAAGATCAGAGAAAGATCAGAGAAAGATCAGAGGAAGGCCAGAGGAACATCAGAGAAAGATCAGAGGAAGATCAGAAGAAGGTCAGAGGAAGATCAGAGGAAGACCAAAGGAAGATCAAAGGAATACCAAAAGAAGGCAAAAAGAAGGCCAAAGGAAGGTAAGAGGAAGATCAGAGGAAGATCAGAAGAAGATCAAAGGAAGAGCAGAGAAGATAAGAGGAAGATCAGAGGAAAATCAGAGGAAAATCAGAGGAAAATCAGAGGAAAATCAGAGGAAAATCAGAGGAAAATCAGAGGAAAATCAGAGGAAAATCAGAGGAAAATCAGAGGAAAATCAGAGGCAAATCAGAGGAAAATTAGAGGAAGACCAGAGGAAGACGGAGGATGACTAGAGGATGACCAGAGGATAATCAGAGGAAGATCAAAAGAAGATCAGAGGAACATCAGAAGAAGATAAGAGGAAGATCAGAGGAATATCAGAAGATCAGAGGAAGAGCAGAGAAGATAAGAGGAAGATCAGAAGAAGATCATAAAGAAGATCAAAGGAAGATCATAGGAAGATCAGAAGAATATCAGAGGAAAATCAGAGGAAGACCAGAGGAAAATCAAAGGAAGACTAGAGGACAATCAGAGGATGTCCAGAGGACAAGCAAAGGAAGACCGGAGGAATACCAGAGAAAGATCAGAGAAAGATCAGAGGAAGATCAGAGAAGAGGAAGATCAGAAGAAGATAATAAAGAAGATCAGAGGAAGATTAAAGGAAAATCAGAGGAAGACCAGATGACAAGCAAAAAAAGACCGGAGGAAGACGAGATAAAGACCAGAGGAAGACCAGAGGAAGATCAGAGCAAGATCAGCGAAAGATCAGAGGAAGACCAGAAGGCAATCAGAGGATGGCCAGAGGACAAGCAAAGGAAGACCGGAGGAAGACCAGATAAAGACCAGAGGAAGATCAGAGGATAATCAGAGGACATGCAAAGGTAGACCAGATAAAGGCCAGAGGATAATCAGAGAAAGATCAGAGGAAGATCAGAGAAGAAAAGAGGAAGATCACAAGATCACAGGAAGATTAAACGAAGATCAGAGGAAAATTAGAGGAAGACCAGAGGACAAGCAAAAATAGACCGGAGGAAGACCAGATAAAGATCAGAGGAAGATCAGGGGAAGATCAGAGGAAGACCAGAAGGTAATCAGAGGATGACCAGAGGACAAGCAACGGAAGACCAGATAAAGACCAGAAGATAACCAGAGAAAGAACAGAGGGAGATCAAAGGAAGATCAGAGGAAGATCAAAGGAAGATCAAAGGAAGATCGGAGGAAGCTCAGAAGATCAGAGGAAGATCACAGGAAGATCGTAGGAAGATCGTAGGAAGATCATAGGAAGATCAGAGAAAAATCAGAGGAAGACTAGAGGGCAATCAGAAGATGACCAGAGGACAAACAAAGGAATACCAGAGGAAGATAGGATGACCAGAGGAAGACAGGATGACTAGAGGATGAACAGAGGTTGACCAGAGTATGACCAGTGGATGACCAGAGGATAACCAGAGGAAGGCCACAGGAAGGTTAGAGGAGGCTAAAAGAAGGCCCGAAGAAGGGCAAAAGTAGGCCAAAGCAAGGGCAAAAGAAGTCCAAAGAAACACCAAAAGAAGACAAAGGAAAATCAAAACTAAAAAGAAAAACCCAAAAAAAAAAGGGCGAAAAACGCACGAAAAAAGAGCGGATAAAGACCGAAAAAATACCGGAAAAAATCGAAAACACCAAAAATAAGAACAAAAAAGGATCGAAAAAAAAATCAAACAAATTTCAAACAAAAAAAATCTAGTAAAGTTCGAAAAACGATGCAAAAAATAGACGACCAAAAATGACCGAAAAAATACCGGAAAAAAGATGGAAAAATATCAGAACAAAAGTCGAAAAAAAAAGACCGAAAAAAATTGTAAAGATAGATAGACAATCCAACTCGAAAATTTTTAACCAATACAATGGCAGAATTGTTTGAAATTTGTCCAATGGCATTCACCGAAAAATTTTTTCAGTGAAAAAACATTCTTCTGTCAGGCAACAACACTGTTTTTCAGCGAAATAAATTATGTCAAATTAATTTGTCAAACTTGTCAAATGAACTTTAATAAAAAAAAACGATAATACCATGGCCGACTAGTATAAAGATTATGGCCTGTCCAAGAGGTACGATACGTGTTGCCATCTATTAATAATTACACTTAATAATTTAGCAAAATTTTAATTTGACTTGAAATTATGGGACTTCAAAACGTGTAATGGTGGTTTGTTTCGGTATGAATGCCTTTGTGCCTTTCAAAAGGTGTTAATAATTCTTTTGTCGTTTTTGAATTATTAATAGATGGCAGCACGTAATGTACCTTTGACATTCCTTTGGACAGGCCATAATCTTTATACTAGTCGGCCATGATAATACAAATTACTTTTTTGTTGGCGTTAAAGGCATAATCTTCCAAAATACTGGCCATCTCGTTCATTTCGACTGCTTTATTTAGATGAAACTTGCGTATTTCACAAAATTCTGTAAACTGCTTCCAAATTGAATCTTGCGTTCTTGCGGTCTTCCGGCACTGACTTTCTTTCACTGCATTTCGAATTTCATACACAGTCTTATTACCAAATCTTGCTCCCAGAATTAAGAAAATCAACCAGCAGCACACACAAAATTTGATGTTTAGAAATTTATTTACGTTTTGCTTTGCTGTTTTGTTACTATTTAGACTAAGTAGGTATGGTTACTCAACGAATACGCTAACTATAAATTATGTGAATTATTGTCGTAAAAAGTAAATAAAAATTTTCTCTTTGGATTGTCAAGCCGAATATAACTCGTGATCTGATTTTTTCTGCAAAATTTGCGTGAAAATTAACTCGTAGCTGTTGCTTTTGGAAAATCACACTCGTCTCCTTCGTCGACTCGTGTGATTTTCGTCGCAACAGCTACTCGTTAATTTGTGTCACAAATTTTGTCGGAAAAAATCAGACCACTTGTTATATTATATTTGAAAAAATCGAACACAAAACTGAAAAAATATGGGGAAAAAGATGCAGAATGGAATAAAGCGTGAAAAAAAAAAAGGAAAGAAAGATCAAAACAAATGAAAGCTGAACCGAAACAAAAGTGAAATAATGACAGAAAAGAAATCGATACAAAATAATTAAAAAAAGGTCGAAAAAATAGGAAAGGCCGAATAAAATGGAAACAATCACCAAAAGAAAGATTGGAAAAAAATCGAAAATAAAACCTGAAATAAGAAAAAAGGCCGTAAAAATGACTGAAAAAATCCAAAAAAGCAAAATTTGGAAGAAAAATCGGTAAAAAATCTTAACAAAATTGAAAAAATATCGAAAAAGTTAGAAATTGAAAGGCGATCTAAATCGGTAAGAGTGAACAGAAACACAAAAAAGATCGGAAGCAAGACTGAAAATAAAATCCAAAAAATGAAAAAAAAAGATCGAAATCGAAAGAAAGATCTAAAAAATGTCGTATAAAAACAGAATCAAAAAAACGAGCGTCATGAATCGGGAGGCAAAAAAGCGACGCCATAAAAAAAGCGCAAAAGGAGTTAAAACAAAATTACAACAAAGGACATTAAAAAAAAGTGTTAAAGAAAGGGAGTAAAAGAACGCTAAAAAATAGCGTCAAAGGAGTTCCAACGAAAAAGTTAAAAAAAAAAAAAAACAGCCAAAGAAAGTATCAACACAAATGAGAAACAAAAAAGAAGAATTGAAAAACCAGGGTAAAAGAAAAAGCCTCATAAAAAAGGGCCAAAAAAGCTTGGTGTTTTTTTAATCTCTCTCTCCCTCGTTTTTTGGTGCTTTCCTATGAATCTTTTTCCTAGGCGTCATTTTTTGACACCCTTTTTTAGAAGCTTTTTCTTTTGAGGCTCTTTATTATATGTGCTCCCCTCATTTGACGCTTCTTCGTTCTCGCTACCGTTTGACATCATTTCTTGTCTTTCTAGTTCTTTCGATGACCTCTTTTTTTGGCATTATTTTAAAAAAGGGTGTCAAACAAAAAGAACAAAGAAAGGGTGACGAAGAAAGAGCGCTAGAAAAAGAGTCAAAAACAGGAGGAATGGGAAAGTGTCAAAGAAAAACCATAAAGATATGAGTGTCAAAAAAAAAATGAACGTAAGAAAACAGTTACAAAAAAAAGCAGTGCCAAAGAAACATAAAACCTAGGAGTCCAAGGAAGGAAAACTGGCTGAAAACAAAAAGCAACATGTCTTTCACAATTCTCCATTTAATATTTTGAGATGCAAAATAACTGATGTCTTTTTGAGTTTTACTTCACGACTTTCGGTTTTTTCGTCCCTGAATTGATGAGTTCGCATTCTAATTAAGATTCTTGTTATTATGTTATAAAATTTCATTGAGATTTCATTTTTGGACTCTATATTTTAAGGTTTCTTTGTGAGGAAAAAAAAAAAGAAAATTGTCAAAAATCTGAAAAATCTGGACGTAAAATAGACTAGGGCACGTTTAAATTTTCGTCATTTCGGATTTATTTTGTATTTGATTTTTCTGCAGGGTATGGTTTTTTGGAAGTACCTTCCTTGTTTTTAAATTCTTCTTTCTCGAAAACAAAAAAAAAAAAAAATCAAAATTTTATGTTAAGATTTTTCATTTTCATGTCACGAAATTCTTGTCAATAGCTTGATTTTCTGTACCTATGTCATTTATACTGTCTGTGCGCTAAATATTCTAAAAAGTGCACTCCTTTCGTAAAGATTTCTATTAGCTACCTTATTTACACTAGGATAATGTCTTTGAACGAAAAAAATAAACACGAACTTCGAAACCAGAACAAAAATAAAACACTCACCCTCCACTTTTGCAGGAGCTTATCGTTGCAGGACTTCTCCGCCCATCGCACGAAATCCTGCAAATCCTTCCCATCATCCTCCAGCACATCCCCGCACGAATCCAACAAAAGGAAACACCTCGTACACTCCTCCAGCCTCTCCCTCGTGTCCTCCAAATTCTCCCTGAACGTCTTCATCTGCACTTGAAGGTTCGCCGTCGCATCCTTCAGACTCTGATACTTGTCCAGAAGATGGCGGCTGCTGTTCGTCTCCTTCAAGTTCTGCTCTCTGGGGTCGCTGATGTTCTTGCATTCTTCGAGCAAATCCGTTGATTTCTCGAATTGTCTCTGCAAATGCGGTGATTGTGAGCAGCGATTGGTTTTTGCTGATAAAAGTGGCGGTGAGAAAAGCAGTAATCACGCGACAATTATCGACGATCTATAAACGGTTTCTCTCCTTATAAATAATAATATTAATAATGATCGCATGCGTTGATATTTCCTTCCGGTGAGGTGACGACGAAACTACTTCCTAATGGGTGATTATGGAGATTTGAGGATTGGATAGTTGGTGGAATTGGAGTCACGACATTACGGGAAATGGGAGTTCGATTGGCAGCGGAAATTTCACCAGGTTGCATGCCGGAGAATTATAAGTAATTCGGTGTTTAGTGTTTTAGGAGCGGGTAGGACGGAGCGGTATTTAAGCAATTTGTTCAGTTAAAATCGCATATTTCATTCTTTTGTCGGGTTTAGGGGTCTCTTTTTATCACAGTAATTAACTCATTAAGCGGAGGCAAGGGATTGATAACTGAAGAACTTTCCAAATTAAAATAACAACGTGGTCTTAGTTGAATTTTAGTACCGAACTCTAAAAATTTTAATACAATTTCTGCTATTCGGAAATTTAAACCTCATTAATTCCAAAATTATTAAACTTTTGAACGTTTTAAAATGTCGTTTGGAATAAAACTAAGACAGGTGGTAAACATAATTTTTTGAAAGTAAGATATTTTTCGAATCCGCTTCATGAAAAATACGGAGTGATTATTAATGTTAGTGATTTTTCTGTCAGGTTGGCAACATATTTAAAATTTTATGATGACATTCCTGATGTAAAATTGAAATTATGGCCGCCAATTCGGTAGTTGCCATCTTCCCATTGGTTTTTAGGATCGCTCATGTCAAAATTGAGAACCGTGAACTGACATGGTAACGTTGATGTCAATAATTCAGAATTGCCAACTCAAAAATTTGCTGCAGTCACCCGGTATATGCGATGCGACAACAATGCTATCTTTGGAAAACGAAAAGTATAAATATTGAACTCGAAGTCACCCTGAGACATATTAACGTCATTTTCAGACTATTGAGCAAAAATACTCAAAGAATCAAAATTGCAAAGATCATGCCGACATATACATTGTTAAATGAATAAAAAACAAAAAACAATAAATATATAAGATACGTGAAAAAATCATGAAAAATGCAAAAATTTTAGGAAAAAAAAAGTGTATTTTCTTTGAGTTAACTTTTTTTTTGAAAATGCCCTTCACTTTACCGAGTTTTAAATATATTAAGATTTTTAATTTTCGAGTGTAAGCTAGGTAAGGAGAAGGGCTATTCATATTTTTTTGAAGTTTAATAATCCCTAGAGTATGAAAAAATTGGTCTTCCGTTTTCGTCTGTCTGCCATCTGTATTGATATTTGTTAGACAGATAATTTCTGAAACTACTGGGCCGATTGTTGTTAAATTTTATATGTATTTTAGGAATACCGTGTATATCGTAAAATGCTAACCAAAATTTATCTAATCGTCCCCACAAACAATGTGATGACATCACCTCAAAATTTTGCATAGTAATAATTTACTTTAATTAATTTTTACCATGGGATTTCTAAAATACGCCGTTTATATGTCAAGTTTCCTTTGACAACTTTTTTAAATCGTTTTTTTGCTTCTTTTTTGTTACCTTCATTTGCCATTTTTGTAGTTTTTTTAGTAGGCCTTTTTTGTCGTTCTTTTCTATGGACGTTTTTGGCGTTTTAATTGTATTTTTTGTAGCATTTTTATGTCGCCTCTTTTTTTCGTGTTTTTTTACCCCATTTTTGCCATCTTTACTTTGTGCGAAAAGGGCGATTAAAAAAGGTATAAATAAATTGAATAAACCCACCAAACCACAGCCACAAAAAAAGGGTCTACAAAATTAGGGTAAAAAAGCGCCATAAAAATGATATAAAAAAGCACAATGAAAACGTCAAAAAGTTCATAAAAAAGGGCAACTAAAAAAAGCGACAAAAAAGCAATTCAAAAAAGCTACAAAAATGAGAAAAAAACTTGGAAAAAAGTATTAAAAGATGTTTTGTTGCGTTTCCTTTGACTCTTTTTTGTCGTCCCTTTTACCATTTTTTTCCGAGCCCTTTTTTGTCATTTTTGTAGCTTCTTTGAGTCGCTTTTGTACCGCTTTTTTTAGTTACCCTTTTTATGAACTTAGCGTTTTCTTTGTGCTATTTTGTACTATTTTTACGGCGCTTTTGACCCCAATTTTGTAGACCTTTTGTGACTGTATTTTGCTAGGTTTATTCAGTTCATTTATCCCTTTTTAATGGCCCTTTTTTCGCTTCTTTTTATCGCATTTAAAATTTTTTTTTGCCTTGTTTGCATTTGTTGCGGTTTTCTAATCGCCTTTTTATACTTCTTTTGTAGCTTTTTAAAGTGCATTTTTGTATTTTTTATCGCGTTTTTTGTCCCGTTTTTCTTGTTGTTTTTGTTGTTTTCATTGTTTCTGCTAAAACATTTTCAAAATTTTATTTTGAAAAACTCGCTTGAAACATGTGGAAAAAAAAATTCTTTATTGTAATATAACAATCCACATCTACCCTTTTTTAAACTTATATGGTAATCATAAATTAAAAATTAAATTCGAAAGATAAAATTTTATAATTTTTCAAAAAAGCTGTACTTGAACGACTGTACTTCAGGAGTGAGTTTTTTTTTTCAAATAACCATTTTTTTTTTCTAGGTGTAGCATGTCCAGGACCAACTTTACCGCCTAGAGGCGTATTGTAATAGGATCCATTCGGTGAATGACTACTTTTATGTTTTCTCGACATTTCCGTATCCGTCTGTGTCGATTTTTACAAAGACAAATAATCTCCGAAACTACTCGACCGATTGTTGTCAAATTTTAGTGCTACCTAAATTTTATAAAACATCACCCCTATATTTGTGGCTCATGAATCCGCCTTGAGTTTTTACCTTAATGTCCATATTTTCTCAAAAAAAAAATCCAAATTATATAACATCGTATAACAGTATAAAAGGAACCAAGAAACAAGTCACGAATTGTATTTAGAAATATCTTCGTTTCTCATTTTTTCTGTGGTGAAAATTGTTATCACGTTAGTTTCTACTAAAATTGTGACTTTCATATATTCACTAGCGGTGCATTTTTCCATTATTTCACTTTTTTTGCTTTTTATTAAAAAAATACCGGTTATTTAATTTTATAAATCGAGTCCTGGAAAACGGCCAGTTGGCGGGTTTTATCTTTTAATACCTAGATTGGATGAATTAAGTCGATAACACCACAAATTTTGGTAGTAAATCTTCATAATTCCTTTTTACAGTTTTATGATTGTATTTCTTGACTCACGTGTTTATACTTTTAAGATGCATTCCGATTCATAAAGTCTCCAAAAACATACTTATCCAGTATTTTTAGGACTTTTCAGATTAGAACTGTCTACAAATTTCAAGATTTTTAAGTATTTATGATTATTAAATCTGCTCAGTTGTTCAAACTTCCCACAATGAAATTTACCTGTACAACAAATTGTTTTGACATTTTCGTAATACATTAATCCGGATTTAATAATTACAAATTTTTACTAAAGAATACGATCTAAAATATGTATAGTTTCAAAACATTGAAAACCTTTAAATTTTATCATAAAAAAATAAGTGACATTTCTTGTAAGAAAACAAAGTAACATCCACAGGAAATAAAAAACCATTTACTAGATTTTTTAAATCTCGTAAGAGCAGGACATCAGTTATGAAATTAGTCTTAAAATAAAGATAGTTTAATGTCAGTTGTAAATTTTTAAGTCAAATCTGAATTTGTTTTTTCCACCCAATGCGAATTTCTCACTCCAATTTTACTCTGTCACATCTTAGAAGTTAGAAAGAGATTAATATAGCGGAGAATTAAAAACCAACCACCAAAGGAAGTGATGGGGGTTCTAGCCCACTTTGACCTCATTTGACCTAGGCTAGAACGTGCATCATATGACTACGCTAAACGAATAAGCCAAATTAGATTCCTAGCGAATCTAGAATTTCAAATTTTCCTTGATTTTTTTGCTGTTATTTTACAATTATAGTACTTTCTAGTACTTTAACTGACACATGAAATTATATTGACGCTTGACTTGAGGGAGTTGGAATTTATTTAATGTTTGATTAAAGGGTCATTTCATCGTCATCTTCTAAACTGTCCATGTTCCTCACTTCCTTATTAGCCCATCATTTCTGAATTCTCTCGTCTTTGTAGTCAATGGTCGCCTCCCAGTCTGATTTCCCCTTATTTACTTCCCATTTAACACCGTTTAATTAACCCAACGTTTAATGGCACTCAACACTGGTAAAAAACCAAACCATCCCGCTTTGTTGTCGCTTTCTCCCCATTAAACACAAAATAAGTAACTGTAATAACCAGCTCCGCCATAAAAACGCCAAGATTTTAATTATAATTTTTCCAATCGAACAAAGCACTCTGGTCAATAACTCAAAACTAATCAGCCACCGAAGAAAAAATAATTGACACAGTGCACAGTACGCCACTCTCACACAAATGGAGAAGCGCTGTTGTCTTCTAATTAAAATAAATTAACTTTCTACCGAACGCCGTTAGGTCTCGAACACTTTTATCAACTTACCCACGCTATGAAATCCAGCTTTTCAAAATCGTTGGCCACCTCCTTGACACCGACAACGTCCGCCGCCGACCGCAGCTTCAGAGTCAGACTGTTGAGGTTGTCCTCGCCGGCCTTGCGGAACCACGACAGGAGCTGAAAGAAAAATTCTTATTAGACAATTAAGTTCCCAGCCATTCGAAACAATCGGCTTGGCGTGAACCCGTTCCGAGGAAGAACAAGAACCAGGCGGTTTTGCTCATTTTTGCCGACAGTAAGTCACAAGAGGCAAGAAGCTACTTAATTTGTTTCGAAGGAAAAATGGGAACCCAATTCCCCACATTCGTAATGAGAGGAAAGTCGGTGCGCTAATATGGCAAGAGAAAAATGAGGGACGAGGAGATTTTGATGAAGATAGCGACGGTCGTGCGAAAAGAAGAGGGTTCGACAAAGTTAAACTAGAAAAATTTTGCTTACTTCAATATGATAATTGATAAATGTGGAGTCCAACTTACATACACAATTGCAAAATTTTGAACAAAACTGATTTTTCATTGTCTAACTTCTTGTTTGGAAATGGTTCGCGATCACGAACGAACACTACACTGATTCGCAAAAATCTACCACAGAACCCCTCGACAATTACTCCTAGTAGTTCTATATTCAATAATAATTAATCAATATTTACTTTATCTCATTTACAATTAGTCAACATTGACGCCGACAAACGGAAATTATCGCAAAATAATACAAGCGCATTAATTCCTTCGAACAATCTTATTTATAATTGTCAGTTTTCGTTATTAATTTCATGCACAACAATTATCAATAATGAACAAGTTTAATAATTATTATCGCAATTATCCGTGTATCATTAACTAACTTATCACTTTTAATCATCTCATCGCGCCACTGACGTCCGATTTTTCAAAGCGCCATTGAAAGCTCTTGCATGGGGAAATAATTACAGAATACCACCTGTGCGTCGTCGCTTTTGCTTGACAAAAATTCGAAAAAAAAAGGCAACGTGCAGGTCAAAACGTGGCCATTACGAGGCGACGTGTAATTATATCAAAATGAAAACTCAATACCGAAGATGTTCACGTTTGATTGGCGTGAAAATGATGCATTGAATTTAATTAAGTCTTCGGATGGTGATGGCAGGATGGCGGGTACAGGTGACGATTTAATAAAAATTTGCTTGAAAAGGGGTTTGTGGTTGAATTGCGGTTCGATTAAATCGTTGATGACGTTTTTCAAAATAGTGAAAAAATGGTTCGAGTACTCTGGCCTGGGGGTTAGAAATAATGATGTCGAAGGAGATGTCGTTCGTTCGAGCTTACTCAGGAGATTGGATAAATTCTGCTTCAAATTTCTGGTTTTCTTGATATAATATCTGGGTAATATTGTCTATGTTCATGTCATGTATAAATTTTTTATATTTTGCGAAGGAAATTGAGTAAGTATTTCAGATTCTGAAACATTTCATGCAAATTTTAATGCAGCGAGAAAAGTCAGACAAATATTAGAAATCAAAATTCAAAAATTAAGACATTGTTCGTCACAATGAATAAAAAAAAAATGCGTTCAAACTATCTCATTTTTAATACTTTCCAGCAATGACATAACTCTCCGAGTAAGAATAAACTTGTTACAAAATATCAATGAGTTTCGTTAATCAAGCAGGCATTATCAGAGCATTTAAAGGGTTTGTTGTATGAAATGTTTCAGGGGTCTACAGCAAAATTACGACCATAAGAACCATCTATTACATCTACTACAAAAAGACTATTTCAAAAATTATGTGGTGTATTTTTTGTGGCAGATTCATAAACCACAAGTACAAGAGTATGTTGTTCCCTAAAATTTAAATGCCGTTTACTAAAAAAAAATTGAAGAAAAGCCATCAAATTGTTGGTTGGAATGATCAGACAAATTTTGGGCAGTGTTTTACCGGCTATACGCTATTTATAATATACATACAAAATTTGACAGCAATCGGTCTGGTAGTTTTGGACAACATTTGTCTAATAAAAATCGACACAGACAGACGACGGACAGGCGACGAGACCAACTTTCTCGTTGAGAAAACATGAAAGTAGCTATTCGTCGAATGGACGCTGTCTTTTCGAATTCTCCCTTCTCGCATTCCGCTTTCTGGGATTTTCTTCGAAATTTTACTTCTCGACATTTTGTATCTTTAGTTTTCGCTAGGAAAACATTTTCCGTGTTTAAAATCATTTACTATAGACGTCTTCAGGCGGACAACTAACTAGAAATGTTCTGCAATAAATTGTTTTAAACCCAGACAACGTTCTATTCTTTCTACGTCCCTAGCGTAAGCTAAGTATTGCACCCACCCTCTCGGGTTTCCCTTCTCGGATTTTCCTCGGATTTCCTTTCGCGGAATTCTGTTTCTAGAACTCTCATTATCGGAATATCCTGCGATTCTCCTCGGATTCTCCTCCGATTTTCCTTCTCCTATTTTTCCTTCTCGACTCCTCTTTCTCGAATTCTTCCTTCTCGCATTCCGCTTTCTAGGATTCTCCTCGAAATTCTGCTTCTCGAGGTTTTGTATCTTACCACACTGTGCTAGGACTCCTTATCTAATTCCCCTTCTTGTGATTCTCCTCGGACTCCCCTTTCCTGGATTTTCTTTCTCGGGTTGTCGTTCCAGGATTCTTGTACTGGAAATTCTTTTCTTAAATTGACCTCGAATTCCGCTTCTTGCAAATTCTCCTTCTCGGATTTTCCCTCGTAAAACTGACTTTCCCAGGATTCTCTTTCTTGAGATTTCCTTCCTGGGAATGTCCTCCTCCGACGTTTATTTCTCGAGCTTCTCTTTTTCAGGCTTCTCGTTCTTGAATTTCTTTTTTGCACGATTTTTCTTCTTGAGATTCTCCTTTTCGGGTTCCTCTCCGTTTCTTCTCGGGGTAGACTATATCATGATTCTCTTTCTTCAGATTCTCTTTTTCTAGATTCTGATACAGTATTCTCTTTCTCGGATGTCTTCTTCTCGAGATTTCCTTTCTCGTGATTTCTTTACTCTTGTGGTTCTGGTTGTTTTCAGTGTGCTCCTCGGACTTCTCTTCATGCCAATCTATTTCTCGATTTCTTGTTCCAGGTCTTTTCCCAATTCCTTTCTTGGATTCCTTTTTTGTTAAGATTCTCCTTCTTTTCCTCGGATTCTCTTTCTTAAGATTTTATATTTTCATCCTACACTCATTCTTCTCGGACTTCTCTTTAGAGATTCCCTTTTTCGCAATCTCTGTTCTAAGAATTTCCTGTCTGAAAGATTTTTCTCGGGATTCCCCTTTCAGGAATTCCCTTTATTCTTATTTGTTCTCTCAGGTTTCCCTTTTTCGGGATTTCCTTTGTCGGGATTCCTATTTTAGGAATCTATATTCTCGTGATTCCTGTTCACGGGTATGGCCTTTTCCATTATTCTCTTTCTCGTGATTCCTTTTCTCTTGTGATTTACTCTCAACTCTCTCGGTATTCCTCTTTTGGGATTCTCTTTTGCACATACATCTTTTTCTAGATCCTCTTTTTGGGGATTTTTCTTCTTGGGCATCTTCTCGAGATTCTCTTTTTAGGATTGCTCTTCTCGGTATTCTCCTCGGACCCCCTTTCTCGATTTGTGGCTCTCGACTTCTCGTTCTTGAATTTCCTTTTTTAGATTCTTCTTCTCAGATTCCCCCGTCTTGGATGCTCCTTCCCAATTCCCTTTCTTGAATTTCTTTTTTCACGATTTTCCTTCTTGCGATTTTTTCTGTTGGAATTTTCCATTCTTGAAATAGACTTTAGTTGGAGCTTCTTTGTAGAGATTCGGTTTCTCGGGTTTTTCCTTCCCAGGCTTCACTTTCTTGGGCTTCCCGCTAGGTCTTCTATCACTCCGGATTATTTCACCCGATTTCGCCTTTCTTGTGATTCCCTCTGTCGGGAATCCCTTTTTCGGTGTTCTCGTCACGCAACCCTTCTTGACATTTTTTTCGGGCTCTTCTTTATCGAAATTCCCTTGTTCGACACTCATTTTCCCTCATGATTGCCACTCTCGGGATTCCTTCTTCCGAGATTACATTTTTGGGGTTCTTTTTTGCAGGATGCCCGTTCCAAGAATTTCCTTTCTCGAGATTCACTTTCTCCGGAATCCCATTTTCAGGTCCGTCTTTTTCCAGATCCTCTTTTTGGAGATTCTCCTTTTCGGGCATTTTATTTTCGAGGTTCTCTTTATCGAAATCCTCTTTTTGGGATTGCCCTTCTCGGGATTTTCCCCGGACCTCCCTTCTCGATTTCTGGCTCTCGACTTCTCGTTCTCGGATTTCCTTTTTTAGATTCTCCTTCTCAGATTCCCCCGTCTTGGATGTCCCTTCCCAATTCCCTTTCTTGAATCTCTTTTTTCATGATTTCCCTCCTTGCGATTTTTTCTGTTGTAATTTTCCATTCTTGGAATACACTTTACTAGGAGTTTCTTTCTAGAGATTCAGTTTCTCGGGTTTGTCCTTGTCCTACGTCTTCTTCTCGGGTTTTACCTTCTCAGGATTCTCTTTCTTGAGCTTCCGTCTAGGTCTTCTTTCATTCGGAATTATTTCTCCCGTGATCGCTTTTCTTGTGATTCCCTCTATCGGGAATCCCTTTTTCGGGGTTCTCCTCGGGCAACCCTTTTCGACATTCTTTTCGGGCTTTTCTTTATCGAAATTCCTTTTTTCGAGAATCCTTTTCCCTTGTGATTGCCACTCTCCAGATTCCGTTTCAAGATTACATTTTTGGGGTTGTCTTTTGCAGCATGTCTGTTCCTGGAACTTATTTCTCGAGATTCTTTTTCTCCTGAATCCCATTTTCAGGTGTGTCATTTTCTAGATCCTTGTTTTAGGGATTCTCCTTTTCGGGCATTTTATTTTCGAGGTTCTCTTTATCGAAATCCTCTTTTTGGGATTGCCCTTCTCGGGATTTTCCCCGGACCTCCCTTCTCGATTTCTGGCTCTCGACTTCTCGTTCTCGGATTTCCTTTTTTTAGATTCTCCTTCTCCGATTCTTGGATGTCTCTTTCTTGAATTTCTTTTGTCACGATTTCCTTTCTTGTGATTTTTCCTGTTATTTTTCTATTCTTGGAATAGACTTTACTAGGAGTTTCTTTTTAGAGATTCAGTTTCTCG